ACAAATTTTCTCTTTTGTCTAAAAGAGATATTGTTAAATTATCATAAAGATGAAACTTTTAACATATTACAACGTTTGTCATTATTTAAGAATAATGATGTTTTGTGATATACCAGTCTTATGATTCCATTTAAAATATTTTCTTTTAGTTTTGAAGTTTTACTAAAAACATTAAAATAAATAATAACTACAAAAATTTAATTTTGTACCTTTGATAGATGGAACTAGGAATTTTTATGTCAAAATTTGCAATTCTTGTTCACTTAAATGAGCTAGTCTATTGTTCTATAATTTTGGGGAAGCATCATCCTCAACTTCATTCAATCCATATGTGATCAACAAGACTTGAATTTTGTATAATATTGAATACATTTGCTTTTAACTACCATCAATGATCCCTTTGAAAGCTATTTTTTATCATCAAACTTGTGATATTTGACTAAATCTAGAGCATGTAATGAGATTAGATATAGATACAGATTTAGGACATGTTGCATGTCCTTCAATGTTTGGTCTAAATGTAGGCGTCATCAATTCCAACATTTTTTACATTGTTTATTGTTAGAAGTAACATAATAAAATATTGTTGAGTCAAGCAAACTATTCAACACATGAATTTGCAATATAACATTTTTCTTACTATTTAAGTAAATTAATAAAGATTTGAAATCAAAAATAAAAATAATTAATGAAAAGTAAAATATTTAATATATCTAAGATTTTAAAAATATATACTATTTTCTTTTTATAAGTAAAAAAATTAATATATAATTTAACATAAATGTTTATGGATAGTTCAAATGTAATTGATATATAATTTGGAAAAAAATGAATTTAATGAAGTCAGAGTTTAAAAAATAAATAAGTATAAAACTCTTTATCAATACTTGCTAATACTAATAAATACTACACTAATATTTTTTAGGAGTTATTTGTGTTAATTTTATTGTAATAAATTTTAAATTTAATTCCTTGTTCAAATCTAATTTTTAATGGTATGTAAATTAATGAAATTTTAAAATCAAAAGTAAAAAATATTTAAATAAAAGTAAACTATTTAATATATTTATAATTTTAAAAACATATACTATTTTCTTTTTTATAAGTAAAAAAGTTAATATATAAATTAACATAAAAAATTAAACATAGAACTTTTAATACACTTACTACTTGCCTTTTAAAAAATTAAAAATATTATTATAACTATGACATTGATTTAAATATTTATCAGATGCGCAATAACAAGTATATTATAATAGTGCTCTCTGGTTACAAGAGTTAGTTGAATTTGTAAGATATGAACTATAACTGTGAAGTTTGAACATATGCAGTGCATTCTGTCTTGTAAGGTAATTTATGAGTAATTGAAAATATAAATTAAAATATAGTAAAAATTTAAAACTACATAAAATTTTTTTTTTATTATTATGAAAAATATAATAGTTCAAGTTTAAGAGAATTTAAAAATTAAAAAAATAATTTAAAATTAAAATTAACCAAAAGTTGAGATATGTAAAGAAAATTTAATGTAAAAAATGTTTAAAAATATTTATTTTATGAATGTTAAGACTTAAATTTTTTTTAAAATACTATAAAAGATATATTCATTCTTAATATATATATATATATATATATATATATATATAATTTTTATTCACATTGTATTTGGATATTAGAAAGAGTGAGGAGACAAGTAGAGTAAAAATGTAAATTTTTTAAGTTATTTAAATGAAAAGAAAAACCAAAAAAAAAGCATGCAAGAATAAAAATATTATTTATTTATTTAATTAAATATAAAAAGTAATATCATGTTTTTTTTTATTCTTACTAGTTTGAATATTAAAAAAAATAATAGATCTTATGAATTTGTTTAATAGACAAATATCTTCTATAAATAGGAGTTATTCATACTAATAAAAAAATATTAAAAAAAATTGACAAGAAAGAAGAAATGATGACTTTAAATTAATATAATTTATAGAATGTTCTAGTAATAACTATATTTAACAGTTGTACTGATAATTCAAAATATAACTCATGCGTAATTTGAAAAATAAAAATAAATTAAAATACATGTAAGACTATTTTATTTTATTTTTTTTATTATGATTACTAAATATTTCTTTACATTTTTTTATTTTTTTATTATAGTAAATAATTTAGTAAGAGTTATGTTTTGTTATTACACTAACATATTTTGAATATAAAAGTATTTTAAAGAAAAATTGTACCTTCCTTGTTTTAAAGAAGGTAGATATTTTTAAGAACTTTTCTTCACAAAATGTATGGTTCTCTAGATATAAAAGTGGGCAATAGATTTTTAGAAAGCAAAAACAAGATTTTTATTTAATAACTTAATTCATAGAAGGTTAATATTTATAAACTTTTTTGTTTTTATTTTTCATCTTATTTAATCTGAATTTGATCTGGGTTGTGCATTTGGACGCAGAATGCGAGTTTATTATTAAAATTTTTTTATATATATAAAAAATTGAAACTTAAATGATATCAAACCGTTTACTGCTCAGATCAACCTTGATTAATTAATATTCATAAACTTTAATTTATAATTATAAAAAACAGTGTATAATTAATAAATTTACACTATTTGTCTCTTTTTCAAGTATTATTTCATATACGTTTAAGACTCTTTTATTCTATTATTATGTCATGATTACTAAATATTCTTTTACTTTTATTTTTATTATTATAAATAATCTTGGCAGAGTTAAGTTTTGTAATTATACCAATATATTTTAAATATAAGAAAAGATTGTAGGTTTCTCATTTTGAAAAGGTGAATGAATATTTTAAAGAACTTTCCTTTGCAAAAATATGGTTCCCTAGGTATAAAAGTGGGTGATAGTTTTTTAGAAAGCAAAAACAAGATTGCTATTTAGTAATCCTATTCATAGAAGGTTAAGAGGATGAGACAATCACATTGAATTGTACAGGGTTCATTCAATTATATACATTTTAAATTAATTAATAATTACAAAATACAATATCTAATAAAACAAAATATATGCAATTCTCTTTTTTTTTTTATTGTCTCAAATATATGTCTATAAAATAATAAATCTTAGCAAACTGCTTTAAATTAATGACTTCTCAATTACCTATAACATTAGCATACTCTATGATTAATAAAATATTATATTTTGAATATATCATATTTAAATGTACCTTACATCATAAAGTTGTCTTACTTATATAATTCCTAAATTTATGGGTGTGATGTGTGATAATCTATCTGTAGATCAAATTGAATTAACAAGTCTATAAATTTTGTTGTTGGGATAATTTGTAGTCACATGCATCTGTTAATACATATTTACTAATGCATTACAATCTCAACTATATTATCCTCGTTTATTCCAACAACCTAATAAATGAAGACACTTCAATAGTATTTCAGTGAATAGTAACATCTCTAATTAGTCTAAACTTTGAGTAAATCTTTCTAATTGTTCTTCATCGTTGATGTGATTTTTTACATTACCAAAATGACATAATAATCTACTTGTTTGTTGATTCACCATGTAATTGATCTTTTGGAGACAATATCTCTAATAATTTTTCTATAAATTAGAACCACATTCTTAACGTGCTTTCAATAAATATACTTTCTTAAGTAATAATACATTCTCATAGATATAAGTAAAAATTATATATTTGTATTCTCTACCACGTTACTAATGCAAAAATAAATATTATCTTAATTTTGAAATATAACAGTTAAATAATGTTTAAATATGAAATTATTTAATATGATAAATTATCTTATTATGTCGTAAATATGTTTGTCTCAATTTTAAAATCTTATTATTAACATTGTTTCATATTAATTACGTACATTTTAAAATTTCAATAATAATCAATCATTTGAACCACAGCTTAATATCATCACATGACTATGACGTGTAATCGTAGTAAAAAATATGTCATTTCTATATTAAAAATTATATTAAATCATACATTTAAACTTAAATGCATTCACAATTATTATTACTTAAATGAATATATTTTCAACATAAAATAATAATATTAAAAAGTAAAGCACACATATTGTAATAAAACAAAATTAATTTATTATTTTGTTTTAAAATAACATACAAATACTATAATTTTTAATTTTTTATTATAATAATATATTTTTAACAAATACAAACTTTAGTCCGACAAATAATACCTAATAACATTACAAGTTAACAATAAAGTAAACAATTTACTAAATATATATAAAAACCAAACTTAGATAGGTTTTTTTTTGCCTTATCAATACCAGATTTACTTTGTTTTTCAAAAAGTCATCAGATTAGAAGACTGAAAACCTTAATAAAATTGAAGTGAACCGCACACTGGGGTCATGGAATGTAAGCGTTACAATACAACTTGTGTGGTGTCTTTTCATTGTTTCTCTTGTGCATGTGTGTCTTTCTACTCCTCTTTAAATGAAATAACACTTTTTCATTTACCATAATGCCCTTAAGTGTAACACTTTAATATGTTACATATTCTATTTTAATTTTTTATAATATTTTTATGATTCAAATAACTCTTGAGTGATGTGAAGCTTTCATCAAATAAAATAAAATAAAATAACCCATGTGATGTGAAGCAAATTATTTAATTGCAACATGACCCGTCCACTTTTGGTTACGCATATAACGATTTTACGTTATATCGTGACACATCACTGTACGCAGACTATGAGATATTTTATTATATCACATAATAAAATACTAACAAAATAACCAGGGTATGTTTGTTTTTATAAAATTTTTTATTTTTATTTTTAATTATAAAATTGTTTCTTTATTTTTAAAAATCTATAAAAAATGGTAAAAAAATAGAATAATGTTATTTTTAGTATTTTATTACAAATATTTTGAAAAAAAATAAACTTAGTCGTGTTGTCTTGAATGAGAGTGACAAATGGTCCTGAAAGAAACAAAAAAGGAAGATGAAAATTGTAGGTTAAGCGGTGGCAAATGTTGCGATGATGTGAAGCGAGGGAGACGGTAGAACTGCATTTGTGTTTGTGGCAGTCCTTTTTCTTCTCTTTGAGTTTAGGTGACAACACTTTCTTCTTTCCAATTCCCTTGGGATCCTTTGTTTTGAGTTGCATGCCATACCACTCTCCATAATCATCATTGTGTTTTCCCTCTTTCTATTAGGGCACTCTTTTCTTAGCTGTTTCATGCAATTCTCACCTCTCCTCTTCCATTTTTCTTGCTCTGCACATTGTTCATCACTTTTTTAATTGAACTCTCACCTATTCAAGATTTTCAGAAATCCATTGATTGTATTTTTAACTGTATTCTGTAAACGAACTTAGAATATAGTTTGAATATTTTAAAATAATATTTTTTATTAAGAAATATATACTATATTAGAAATATAAAAATATAATATTTTTTTAATATTTTAATAAAAAAATTCAATTCAAAAGTGTAATATAACAACCGTAGTTCGAGTGAGGCATTGTGTTATTGCTGCAATTTTGCGTTCAGGTTCCTGAAGAGTTAATAAAATGGGACTGGCTCTGGGTTGTCTTCAAGTGGAGCAGTCAACAGTAGCTATCAAAGAAGTTTTCGGAAGATACGAGGATGTGCTTGAACCCGGTTGCCACTGTGTGCCCTGGTTCTTTGGCACCCAAATAGCTGGTTACCTTTCTTTGCGTGTGCAGCAGCTAGATGTTCGCTGTGAAACCAAGACAAAGGTTTCTTCTTCAAAACTAAAATGCCATGATTATCAATATTAGCTTTAAGGGGGTGTTTGGAAGATTTTTACCACTAATTTTGAGCTAACGAAAACGGTTTATAAGTTATGACATTCTTATAAGGTTTTTTTTAGCTTGTTTAAGTAAAGTTTACAAGCAATAAGCTTTCATTGAATAAGTGTTTGGAATGCGTTTGGATAATCAATTTAATTAAACACTTATTCAATAAACTTTTATTATATGATGTCATATGACATAAATTTTGTTATGACACTTATTAGAATAGGATAAAAAAAGATATTTTGATAAGTAATAACTTTATCAAAATAAGTTAAAAAGAGCTTGAGTCAAATTTTTTTTTACAAGCTCTTCGTAAACCCTTACAAAACACTATTGATTAATTAAGTTGTCTATAAAATTTTGCTTTGATGTATGTTAACTCATTAAGTAACTACTAAATAATGTGCATATGTTTTTTTTTTTTCTTGATTTTCTCTACTAATCTGATCTTACATGCCATTAGGACAATGTTTTTGTCACCGTGGTTGCATCTGTCCAATATCGAGCACTGGCAGAGAAGGCAGCGGATGCTTTTTACAAGCTTAGCAATACCAGGGAACAGATTCAAGCCTATGTCTTTGATGGTGTGGATTTGTGACCTAAACAAACTATATATAAGTTGGGTTCTTTGGATGCTTCTTCAGGATGAAACTGACAAATCCCTTGTTACTATTTCAGTTATCCGGGCAAGTGTTCCGAAGATGGATCTGGATTCCTCTTTTGAACAGAAAAATGAAATTGCAAAAGCTGTCGAAGAAGAACTTGAAAAGGTAATTCATTTTTCTTTTTACCTGTCTTTTTTTTTTTTGTGTGTTGAGAGCTAAGGGGATAGCATCCATAATGTTTGGATTTTTTATTTGGTGTGCTTGTTAAGGCGATGTCTGCTTATGGGTATGAGATAATTCAGACTCTCATTGTGGATGTTGAACCTGATGTGCGTGTAAAGAGAGCCATGAACGAGATAAATGCAGGTATGCTTTCTGCATTGGCACACTGTAGTTGTGGCTGAGCTCAAATTACTCTTTTCTTTTATCATTTTCATACATGTAGAAATGACTTATCATAAACTAATCAGCTTAAAAAAATGTTTTAGTGTTGACTTTAGAAAAAAAAAAAAACTTGTATCAGTATTGATGTCCCCTCAAATTCATCGATTTTATTGCAGGTGAGAAACATTTTTTGCTATGGTCTTGTTTTGAGCAAAAACTTATTTTAGGCTTGACATTTTCTTTTCTTTTTCTCTTTAAACCTGTGTTTTAATCATCACAAATAGCTGCAAGATTGAGGGCGGCTGCAAATGAGAAAGCTGAAGCGGAGAAAATTCTGCAGATCAAAAAAGCTGAAGGAGATGCAGAATCAAAGTACCTAGCAGGGCTTGGAGTAGCTCGCCAGCGTCAAGCCATAGTAGATGGCCTGAGGGACAGTGTGCTAGCCTTCTCAGAGAATGTCCCTGGGACAACATCTAAGGATGTAATGGACATGGTTCTGGTGACCCAATATTTTGACACATTAAAGGAGGTTGGTGCATCCTCAAAATCCAATTCTATTTTTATTCCACACGGACCAGGTGCTGTGAGAGATATAGCTTCACAATTTAGAGATGGTCTTCTTCAAGGAAATGTGTCTCATTCTTGAAGCAGAACTGTAAGAATTTTCTGCAAAACTCTATCGATATATATATTTGTAATTTTGTCTTTTAACTTTTTTAAGTTTCAATTTGGTTGATATGTTTATATGCCTTTCCACACCCACTGTATTTCTGTTCACATCTTGAGTCACGAAGTCACATTGTACTGTTCTTATATTTTTATTTGACAAAAATTTTCTGCAGTTATTGGCTGTGCTTTTCTCTGTCTTAAAATTGATGACATATTGAGATATTGAGAAAATATCGTAAGCTTATAGAAAAGAGAAGTAAACAGAATGTAATTTTTAGGTATCGAAAAAGATACAAGAGTGGGGTATTTATATATAATGTAAGAGAGTTATGTAACTAACTATAACTAACTTTACCGAGTAATAACTGAACAACAGTACTATTGATTTAATGTATTTGACACCCCCCCCCCTCCCCCCCCTCAAGTTGGGATGTGAATATCTAACATTTCAAGCTTGGTAAGATTGATTTTGAAAGGACCAGAATGAAGAGGTTTAGTTAAGATGCCTGCTATTTGTTTCTACAAGGAAATGGGAAGAAGATGAATGACTCCTTGTTGAACCTTTTCTCAAACTATGTGGCAGTCCAATTCAATATGTTTTGTCCTTTCATCAAATACTGGATTTGCAGTTATGTGAAGTACTGATTGATTATTACAATACAGAACTATAGGAGTTGTATCTTTTTGACCAAAATCTTCAAGATAGTGCAGCCATTGAGCTTCACAAACACTTTGAACCATATGCTCTATATTCAGATTTAGCAAGGGACTTTAATACAGTTGATTACTTTTTTCTTTTCCATGAGATTAGCGAAGACCAAGAACAAAACAAAATCCTGTGATTAATCAGCGAGTGTCTAGACATGATGCCCAATCTGTAAAAACCTTTAACCTTTTGAGTATCAGCATTGCAACTTGATGATGTACTATGGATGGATAATCAAGAAATTGACTTAAATGACTTACCACATAAGTAATATTTGGTCTGGTATGGGTTAAATAAACCATTCTACCAATCAATCTTCTATATGACAAAGGATGAACTAATGTAGAACCAACTTCTATGAATATCTTTGTAATAGGATCCATTGGTGTTGTGCACGGTTTGGATCCAAGTTGTCCAGCATCTTGGAGAAGATCAAGAGTGTAGATATAGAGTTATTCCTTGTTTGGCTCTAGCAATCTCGAGTCTTAGAAAGTATTTTAATTCTCTGAGGTCCTTGATGTTGAATTCACAATCCATCAGTTTCTTCGTGTGATTAATTTCTATTAAGTCATTTCCTGCCAATATAAGATCATCAAACTATATCAATATTGCAGTAAAAAATGTGTCAGACCTTTTTGTAAATGAAGAGTAATTTACTAAAGACTGATGATATCTTAATGAAGAATTGTGCCAGCTTCACATTTCATTGTTTGTTGGCTTATTTAAGTCCATACAAGGACTTTTGCAGCTTACAAACTTCATTTGGATTTTTTGAAGTCATCCCAAGTGACAATTTCATGAAGACTTCTTCATTAAGATCACTGGGTAAGAAAGTTGTATTTACATCACATTGGTGTAGATGCCAATTGTTTGACGCAGCAAGACATAAAAGTTCCCAAATAGTGGTCATTTTCGACAACAAGACTGAAAGTAACCTTGTAATCTATTCCAGTAATTTGGGTGAATCCTTTTGCTACAAGGCGCTCTTTATATTTCTCTATTGAACTATCTGCTTTGTGCTTAACATTGAAAACCCATTTGCATCTGAAGGGTTTCTTTCCAGCACTCTTGCAGGGAAATCGGTTACTGTCCATGTTTCATTCTTATCCAAAGCTTGAAGTTCTGATCGAATGGCTTGTCTCCAACATTCATGTTCCACAGCTTCATCATAAGTCTGTGGTTCTGAACCTGTAAAGATCACTAGAGACCCTAGTGAGTGATCGCGAGTGTCGTGCTCGGACAAATTAATAAAAATCGAATTGCATAAAAATTATGTAGTAAGAGGTGCAATCTGAGTCGTCTTCCAACGATGATAATGTTATATGATTATAAAATTAGAGAGGGTTTGATTTATAGAATAACACTAATTAAAATCAAAAGTTAACAAGAATTAAGAACTCTAATTCAAGAATTTAGAAGAACTACGACTACTCTATCACCGGATTCCAAGAAGATGCATCAACCAACAAATTAGTGAATAACATTAAATTCGAATGAAGCATTCACACGAGAACCTTTATGTATTCGATTAACACATAATTCGCTCAAAGTTCAGAAACATCTAGAACCTAATCGATTTGTATTAATTTAATTCACCAATGCCATTAATCTTAGATCTCAAACCTGAAAATCTAATTCACACTTCTTTAAGAATTAATTACATACATCAACCGAATAATATGTAATCAAACAACTGCACAATTATCAATCCAAACGAAGAACTTCAATTCGAAATCATAAAAAAGAAGAAAGAAGGAAGAGATGAAACTGAATTTGTTGTTGAATAAATTGCGAAACTGATCCTCAAGAGTGTCTCAGCCCTTTTTCAATCCTTGGACTAGATGAAAGTGTAAGCCTCCATTAATGGAGGAAAATGAAAGGTAAAAACGGAAGAGAAAAGGAAGAAGAAAACAAAAGCCCTAAAACATAAACATAATCTAACTTGGCGTCTCAATCGACCCTGTTACAACTTGCTGCTCTAATTTAAATACAGGCTTTTAAAGGTCAAAACGTAAAACTTAATTAATAATTATTCAATTACATTAATCCTCTACTCAATAGCTGTCTTTGGAATCCTTATTTGTTCAAATTCGAATTCTGGAAGGAAAGTTATGCTTGTAATTGCTGCTCAGTATCCATGATGAATTTGCGAAGATCTTCGGTGGTATTTTTGGCCATGAAGATCTATCCGATTTGATTTTTGATATGAAGAGAAATTATAGCCCTGAATGTTAGCTTCAAAACGCAACTGAAATGGGTTTAAACGGACATCTGTGGATTGAGATATGGCCTAAATACTACACCAAGGTTAGAAACTGCGAGTGCAGTGTTGACTTTTTCTAGGCCCAGTTTCAGCTTCTCATCATCAGAATTGGTTTCTGACCTCTCATAGGAATTGTGCGTCTTTCTCTTATTTTTCCTACAAATCAAGAATCATAATGAAATGAGCTCTACAACTCAAGATATGGCATAGAAACTAAAACAGTATCAAAATTTGCCAAATACTGGAAAAATTAAATAAAGCCCAAATAAAATTCAAACATCATAAAATAATCCAATTCAAACAATTAGGCACAAAAGAGGATTAATGAGCTAAGAATGAGCGGAAATAAGGTTATATAAATTCAATTGATAAAATTTCCCCACACTTAGCTCTTATATGTCCTTATATAAGACACAATCAAGCAAATAGAAATATGTAACCTAAAAATCCTAGAATAATCAAAATAAACAAATTCTCCAATGAATCCTTAGAAGTGTTGAATTTAGGGACACAGATCAAATAAAGCATTAAGAGTTCTACATCAATCAAACATTCAACTCCCAACCTCTCAAAAATGTAAGTCAAGCAATATCATTCAAAGTGTATAGATCAAACATGAAAGATCTCACAAGATGGTGTATACAACTCAACTCTCAAGTGTATGATTCAATGTGTTTTACTCAAGTCATCTCAAAAGACAATGCATTACCATAAGTTTGTTAATCTTCTACTTCTCCACTACTTACAACTATATGCAAACACAAATTAAGAGGACTTTATTCAATGGTTGTAATGGGGTTAAGGTAAGGGTAGGGAAATATGAGGATATGACAAGATACAACCGAAGAGAATAGGAATAAGATTGGTTCTTAGACAAATCAAGCCATAACACACATTTACTCTTCTTGGACTTTCTTTTCCCTTTATCAAAAATTCTCATTTTCTTTGTAATTTTTTTTTTATTATTTTTCTTTTTTTTTCTTTTTTTCTTCTTCTTACATTCTTTCCAAACCCCAACACTTGAAATGTAATATGAAACTAATGCACTCCCTATTCCCTAAGGTTAAGTATAACATGATTTTTCACTTAAAGCTTATAATGTGCTAGAAGCTAAAGAATGGTCAATAAGGCTCAGAGGGGCTAAATAAAGGGCAAAATGCAAGGTAAGCTATATGGCCAAGTGAGTAAAAATTTGAAAGAAATGTCTCTATCATGTTCATAATTGCATATGAAAATTGTAGTCTCAAAGAAGAAAAAAAACAAGTTTTAGAATGATAAAATCTAAGAGGGAAAGCACACAAGAAAGAAAAGAATGGAATGAATTTTAACCATCCAAAAATAAGGCTAAAAAACTCACAAAGGTAAAGTCTAACATACTCAATCATACAAATCAAACTCAATCACCCAATTCGCATATATCAAGGGGAAGAAACAAAGATGAAATCATGTAAGAATTCTATCCTCCTTAATAACTAATGCTTTAACTCAACAACTTCCAATTCAACAAAGGAAAACAAAACAAAAACAATGTTAAATAATAAAAACCTATTACTCTTCCCTCCACACTTCAACTTTACATTGTCCTCAATGTAATGTATAATGGAATTCTAAGTAAAATGTAGTACGGAAAGGGAAAGGGGAACTCCCTAATCAAGCATAAGTGGCCGCTAGCAAGCGGATCTCCTTAGTGGTCTCTAAGAGTATGTCCTCGATGGTCTCCAAAATTTTTGTTCTCCTACTGCAAAATTCAGGATTATGCAGAAACGCATGTCAAATAATAAGGTAATGTATAGCATAAAGTGTTTGTGCAGCAAAGATGTATAGCAACTTCATGAATTATCACAATTCAAATGCAAGAGCATTATTGAATGCAAAAAATAAATTGAAAACTTCTAAAAGAAAAAAAAAAGTAATTGTGAGTTGCTTCTCACACAGCGCTCTTTTAACGTCACTAGTTTGACGCCTTATGATCTTTAATTCTAGGAGATACTTTTATTGGTAGCGGTTTCAATTGTATACCTAGATATTCCTCCTTTTTCTCATAAATTTGCAGCACTTCATTTAATTGGGAACATGGAAGAAATAACCATGAAGGGATTTCCAGCTGCTTCATGAACTTAATAAGTTTCTCTTCACGCTCTTCATTTCCTTGATGTGCAGAACATCGTGTCTTGTTGTTGTACCTAAGATGCTCCCGTGA